CTCGATCGATATACATTATTACTTTTTCCAATCGATTAAACCAATGAATTTTAAAACAATTATCTAAATCAACTTGCATATAGACGGAATAAAAAGACATTTGAGAAGTAACATAGTACAAAACCAAAAGGGATCTTACATTGAAGTATTGATTTTTTTTTGTGTTTGTCAACTGAAGTATATCAATGTTATGACTGCTATTCAAAGTAATTAATTGCTGATTTGTAAGATCTTTTTTAAAAAACAAGTATTCATTGCTTATTTTCTTAGTCATTTATCAAAGATACCCACCTACACAATACTGGTCAAAAAAGTATAATATCAACATACTTTTGACCTTTTTCTACGATATCAATCGTTCAACTGATATCCAAATAGTGATTTGAATAACCAATTGATTCCTTTATCAAATGCATTCCACCCTGAAATTCCATAAATGAACAATGAGGAGAAGATTTCTGAAAAACCAAACATGATAGTTTTCAGCTCCTAGAATATTATATGAAAAATAGTTTTTAAGAATGCTATCTTAAAGAGTACAAAATCTTGAAGTAGACCAGGGATTGATCAATTTCATACGACCCTCGCTTCAAAAGTTCTAATTAGCACAAAAAACAATAGCATACTGTGTCTCTTAGCAATGCTATGATAAATTTCGCTTTTTTCCCCATCATTTTTGTGATGCTTATAACTTTTGAAGAAGAAGTCTTGGGAAATGGAGTATGTCGTCGTTTTATTTAGGAGTTTGTACTCTTTACAATGGCACTCTTAAAAGCTAATTTTCGAGCAGTCTCCTCGGACCTGAAAACTGCCGTGTTTGATTTTTCAGAAACCTTCCTCTCATAGTCAATCTACGGAACTTTGTCATGAAATGCATCTGATAGAGGACTTCATTAGCTACTCAAACTACTGTTTGGATTTGAGTGAAACGCTTGTTATCGTAGAAAAAAAACCAACGATCGATTGAGTTTTTTTAATAGAGGTATAAGTCAATTTACAGTTGAAATTCCTTAGCTGAATTGTCGTCAATTGCTCTGATAAGAGAAAAGTCTATTTCAAGGTTAATGAATTACCAACTTTTAGTCGATTGATTCACGAAACTCATCTAAATTTTTAAGTAATGCTCTTAACTAGTAAATAATGTAAGTTTTATTTGAATTTCGAAATAATCATATGTTCTTTATGTGAGTTGTCTTTGAAAATAATCCTGACATTATTAAGAAAATTTTTGGCATGTTTTTTTTTTTCTTGACAGTTAACTCTGACTTGAATCAGTTATCATAATTATTATAATAAAACCTACGTATGTGCCTATGATGTCATTGTATTCCAATGAACTAAATAACAATTTATTATGTTTTCATTTTCTATGGAAAATATATGAAAACAAAGATTCACCCTTTGTTTTCTATTGTACTCAAACAAATTTATAATTTAAAGAAACAGTTCAAGTCAATTATATGTTCTATGCAACAGAACGCATCTATTAGAGCAATATTAAGTCTACATTTCGGATAGGATTTCTTTTTATTTTATACTTATAACAATCTATATTATTGCTAATTTTTTTCAACAGAATATATTCTATTTAATAATACAATATATTTTAAAAGAGACTATTTATTATTCATTGAACTTTGTTTTATTTATATTAATTTTGATTTAATATAGATTGAAATTGTTCATCTAATAATACTTTTTAAAAACCTCTTGCATGTCAAATACTGCATGAATGAATGAATGAATGGCTTTTTTTTTAAATAAATGATCGATAGACATTGTTATTGTTTTGACTGTCATATGAATAAATAATTAATAAAATTGAATTCAAATTCACGTATATGATGAATTTTATATATATTTTTTTTCATTCGATAGTATTCGTTTGATTAAAAATCAATAAAAGCCTAAATCAAACAATTTTTTTCGCTCGTATTGAATTTAAATATCAATAAAGAAAAAAATAAATACTTCGGTCATGATTTATACTTAGGCTTCTTCTATTCAATTTCAACAATCATTTAGGAGGCTCATATTTCTTTTTGTCAGTTATTCAAATCAAATGAAACATAAAGGAGTAGAAAAACGATCTTTCTTCCTTAATTTACAATGCAACGTTCTGGTTTTTAAATTAACACTTGAATTCTTCTTTCTTTTTGATCTTCAAATGAACAACGGCACAATATGGTAATGTAAGAATCCATGAAAATTTAAAAAAAATATTCATCATTGCGTAGGCATCAATCTAAAAATAGGTTCAAGCATTTATTTTGTTGCATTTAATTGTCATGAAAGAGCTTCCTGATTTTTTTTCTGTTGTCAAACTTGATCAAATAAATCCTAGTGTTTATACTAATGTCGTGTACAGAAGTATTTGTAGGCCAATAACAACAGATATTACTCATAGAAACAGATATGTAAAGGTTTCAGTCCTTTCAATGCCAAAGAAAACACATGAAAATAAAACAGGCATGCATTGATGTACCGGATTAGTATTAGTCAGATGAAAATCAATGAAATCTCTCACTTGAAAACAGAATAAAAACATAGATGAGAGACAGCTGAAAAGTTTCATCGTCAACTAATGCCTGACTATTATCATTTTCTTATATGTGATAATATAATTACAGAGTGTAATGTCTTGACATACATACATTTTAACAATATTATAAAGAGTCGAAATTATAACATTTTAATATAGAATATTGAGGAGTTAAAAGGAATTCAGAAATGAAAATTGTAAATAAGTATATCAAGGACTTATATGCTGCAATGTCAGTCTTCACGGTAAGTGAAGAGAGACCAAAGTAGCTTGTTCAATATTGAAACTATATCATTAATTATTTGTAGTTTATTAGTACATGTAATCACCGTGCGCAAGTATTCAATCAACAGTTATTCTAAGTTGAAGATTTTGTAATAATTGGGTTATGAAGATATATACATTGGTTTGTATAATTAATCGACCAGGTTTTGTTTCAAATTTTTATCTGTTGTCGTTAATGCTTACAAGAAACCATATGTTGATTTGAGTAGAGACATTTATCTCTAATAAGAATGTTTGAAGATAAAACTGATTTCCAATTTCCTGCGGATAGAGTCTTTAAAAAAAAACAAATCTTTTCAGCTCCGAGAATTTGCAATTATAATTCTATGAGGTAGAGCAAACAATACTCTACAAAATAAAACAGCTTCTAGCTCTCTCTATGACGTCTTTTGAACAAGATACATAAACTTTTCAGAAGGCAAAAACGTCTTTTTCTTCTCTTGTTTCATACGGAAACTCAATTTTTGTGCCTTTCTTAAATTTCATGCGTCTTGGGTCAGTCAAAAAAAAAATCGTAGAGAGATGAAAATTTTGTTTCTTCAAGGACTCTTTCCGTAGGAAATTAGCAATCATTTTAATCTTCAATAGTTCTTGTTAGAAATAAGATTCTTTATTCAAAATCAACATTTGAATTCTTCTTAGGGTATAGACGACAGCGGAAAAAATTGAAACTAAACCTGGTCAAATAATCATTGTATGTTGAGCACGATAAAAATATTCATCTTAGAAAAAATTAAGAATCAAAAAAAGAAAGGAAGTTAAGTTGCATAAATATATGATCACAAGGTATTGTCGTCATTAAGCCTTCTTAAGTGTCAACAAAGAGAGAACGTGAAAAAATAACATTCATAAATATTATCAATGAAACAATAGAATAAATTCATGTTTCTTTTCTTTAGACAAAAAATTTAATTTGATTCTTTTGAAATGAGTTTTCTGATTTTCTTTTCGAATTAGGCAACTCATAAAGAGTAGTAGTCTTTGTGCAAGTATAAGCTAAATCAGATTTATCTTTAGGTTCTTTTTCTTGTGCTTTTTCTTTTCTCCATTGAATTTTTTCCATTCATGTTGATGCCTACTGTCAGAAGAAAGCGAGTGTGCATAAACTAGGATGAAAGTTTTTTTCTGCTAGACATAAAATCGAGTGAGCACATATGGTGTAGAAAAAAAACAGAAAGAATAGATTGCCAGAAGAAACACGTTATGTTTTCACATGCAAAGAAGTCACACATCCTTTTGCCCTTTGCATTTGTCCCCAATATTCTCAACATGCCGCCTATTCTCTTGTCATATAGAACGATAAAAGAAAGAAGCATTATGACTTGAATAAAATTCTGTCTTGAGAGCGTTTGATTATAGTTAAGAAACCTTTTTTTATTGGGACGTAAGTGATCAAAAGGTATTTTTAATGAAAGAAAAAACAGCTTCATTTTGTAGATGAATCTTGATTATTTTTCTCTAATTGTGGAGGATTCTATTAATGAATCGGAATCAATTAATAATGATACTTTTGATGCATATTTATCTGACCCTACCATATGTGTTTCAACTATGATTAAAAAGGTTTTGATTATAATTTATTATTATTATTTTTACTAATTAATTGATTAATTTTTGTTTAGTACGATGCTTCAAAGTCAAATAATAATGCATACGCGAAGAACACGGAGAAAAAAAATTTACAATGTACTGTTTGTGAAGCAAGAGCATTTGGATACAATTTTGATAGAATTACATGTGAAAGTTGTAAAGGTAAAAAGAAAAAGAAAACGAGATAAATAAATGACAATGAATTTTATATATTATATTATATCCTAGCTTTTTTTCGACGAAACGCTCTGCGAAATATAGTGAGTGAAGCGAATAAATTTGCTTATGTCTGTTTTTTATTATTCTATGTTTATCAATAAATAAATTTAGACGGAATTACAATGTCGATTTGGTGGAAATTGTGATATAACAATAGAAAATCGACGACATTGTACATATTGTCGCATTAAAAAATGTTTTGCTGTTGGTGCGTAATACGATATTTCATAATCTTAAAAAGAAAAGTGAAGCTCATGTTTTCATGTAAAACAAGGCCTCAAAGGTCATGAAGACCTAAAATCCTTTCTTTGCTTGAAAGATTTAATGGATACAAAGAAAAAATATTAATTTGTGTATATTGTTGATGCTTATAATCGCCTTGTTAATTGTAGGAATGAGAAAAGAATGGATCCGTAGTGATGAAGGAAAAAATAATAAACAAACTCAATTTGAAAGACATCGAAAAATTAAACCAACAAAACGACGACCGCAGGTTAATTATTTAAATATATTTGCTTTGTTGAATTTTTCAAAATAAATATTATTTAGATATCAATATTGAGACAACCCGAAAATTTCAATTCATCAATAATATTATGCTCAACAGATCGAATACGTCTAAATAATGTAACTCATTGTTATGATCAATATGCCGGTGAACCAAGTATAGTCAAATATTCTGCACCACAAGAAGTTCTTTCACTACGTTTACATGATTTTTATAATCGTAAAAAACCAATTATAGTTAATTTAATAAGTTATTTTAAACATGTACCTGAATTTCAACAGTTAAATGTTGACGATCAAGTATCATTACTAAAACAAAATATTCGTATTTTAATACCAATTAATTATGCTTTATTAAAAACACCTATTCATTCACAATTTCGTTATACACATATTCAAACAATTGGTTGTGTTAATAATATAAATTTACATACGATGTATCAATCGTTATCGAATAATTTTGTTCCATTTGTTGCATTTGATCCAGTTATAATGAAATTATTGTTAATTACTTTATTTTTTACAACAAATTTACTATCGACAAATAATGATACAGTTGAATATAAACAATTGGGATATATCAAAGGAATTCAAGCCAGTTATGCTGAACTATTATGGTTATATATGATTGAAAAATATGGTAAAGAAAAAACAGTAAATTTATTTACAAAATTTATAACAAGATTTGTACACTTACAAACAATGATTGAGCAAATTGATTCAATTATTCGATTAAATAATGATATGCAATATGTAGATTCACTTATGAAAGTTATTTTACAATTGACATAAAACATGTATTATTTCATATTTATATGTTCAATCTCATTTATGTTACAGAACTTTTATTCATCAGAATAAAGATTCTGAAAATTTATATGTTTTACTTCAGTGTTTGTGAATAAATATATAATTTTAGACAAAGAAAATCATGTTTGGCGATTTAAAAGATCATGTGTTATCAAATGAAGATCGAATTTTAATGAAGAAAATAAAATTGCGGCACAGAAATACGATGTAAAATATGATAAGAGTTACGATTTTGTTTGTAGTCATGTCTTTTGAGAATTCTAATTTATTATCATTGTGATAACAAGAATATTTTAATTGTAGTTCAACACAAGATATCAACAGAAACTGGATGATAGACATGTTAAGTCCTAGAGTATCTATCTTATCATGAATCAAACCAGCCAGTTTTATCTCTCATAATGTCTCAAAGCATAATTTGTTTTTTGTAATAGAATTCTTACTTTGATGAATAATCCATATCCGATAAATTTTGTTATTGTAGCTACAAGTTTATAGTTCAATGAAAATATTTTCCTATCGAATGAAACAAATTAAAAATCGCATTGACTATTGACTTGAAGAAGTTTGTCAAGCACTTCTTTCAATCAATAACGGAAATTATATGTTGTTAAATGTTCTAATCTCATAGGGATTGTACTAATAGCTTTTTTGTGCTAATTTATTTTTTAATTATTTGTCAGAGTTTACCACATAAGACTCGTTGTCTCAGACAATACATAATCCTCAGTAAATAATATAAGTGTGGTGATGTTGATACCTGGATACCAATGTTGTTAAAGTTTAGAAAAAAAATCAAATGTTTGTCTAATTCTTTCTTTTAGCAATGTCTTCTCATCGAAACAATTCGTGATATGTAACGCAATAGGTGGCTGCACGAAACTTTGCTTCTATTGTATATGATAATCACATTTTTGGAAAAATAGACATCAATTTCTTGGTTCAAGTTTTAATTCTAATAGTTTCATAATAGGGTGTATCCATGGGAAGTCGCCAGATCGATCCGCCGATCTCGTTCAAATCGATTGAAACTTTCAGGACTCGTACACATTTTTGCGCTGATCATTTTGGTAATAAACTTTGTTTTCTCAAAGATACAGGTCAAATACTTTTAGGACTTTTTTGCATTTTTGCGAAAACTCAATGCAATATTTGATAGAAAAATCAATGAAATTCCATTTTTTTTCGCTCAAACTTTGAAACCAATGAGATATTCAGATTCATCGTGAGAAACGGCATCAGAATTCATAGAAACCAAAAACTTTTTTCATGGACTTTTGCGCGGTTCTCTCGCTGACTTAGTGAGGAAGAGTGTTGAAAAAAATCAATCAGAAAGTCGGAATTAACGAGAAAGATGGCATAGGCAGTTCGATAGAGCAGCACTTGCTCTACAACGTGGACTACTTAGTTTTCTCCCCGAGTTCAATTTGAAAAGCAGCGGTCCTCAAAGATACTTTATATAACAATTTTTCAGAATCTTTTACATTTTGACCATTAAAAGTAGATTCTAATGGAAAATAAGCATGATATTCGGAAGCAGCATAAAAAACTGCATCGAATACCTTATATTTTAGCCAAATATTTGTTCCACCATAATTTGACTCCTAGAGGGGAGGGGAGTCCAGGGCGAAATTCAGAAAAGTATGGCTGAGGGGGAATACAGGTCAAATTTCGGCGGAACAAATATTTGGCTAAAATATAAGGTATTCGATGCAGTTTTTTATGCTGATTCCGAATATCATGCTTATTTTCCATTAGAATCTACTTTTAATGGTCAAAATGTAAAAGATTCTGAAAAATTGTTATATAAAGTATCTTTGAGGACCGCTGCTTTTCAAATTGAACTCGGGGAGAAAACTAAGTAGTCCACGTTGTAGAGCAAGTGCTGCTCTATCGAACTGCCTATGCCATCTTTCTCGTTAATTCCGACTTTCTGATTGATTTTTTTTCAACACTCTTCCTCACTAAGTCAGCGAGAGAACCCCACAAAAGTCCATGAAAAAGTTTTTGGTTTCTATGAATTCTGATGCCGTTTCTCACGATGAATCTGAATATCTCATTGGTTTCAAAGTTTGAGCGAAAAAAAATGGAATTTCATTGATTTTTCTATCAAATATTGCATTGAGTTTTCGCAAAAATGCAAAAAAGTCCTAAAAGTATTTGACCTGTATCTTTGAGAAAACAAAGTTTATTACCAAAATGATCAGCGCAAAAAGTTCTACGAATCCTGAAAGTTTCAATCGATTTGAACGTGGTCGCCAGATCGACTGGCGATTTCCGTTGGAATGACCCAATAGTAAAAATATTTTTAGAAATAGAATATCAATCAAGTAAAACTTGAAAAATTTAAATAATAAATTAATAAGACTGTCATTCTGTTATACTGTGCAATCCATAACTACTTCGAATGCACCTTTATGATAAATCGTTCGTTTTAGGCTAACCTCCATGCAATATGTTTGATTCTCAGAGCTAAACTTGCGTTTTTTATGAAAATTTTACGAAAGAAAAAAGATAAGTCGAAAGCCATACATTGGTTCGACAATATATGGCCTGATCTTTAACGCCAATTGCGACAAATTATATGCGTGATTATGATCACTCCATATTCAAGCGTAGGTGTATTCGTTTTAATGTCTCGAGTATATATACATCAAGTAATATTCACACTTTATTTTATCATTTATCTGTTTTCGGTATTCTTTCAACGAGAATCATGCACAAGTTTTCATCAACTACAATTGCTATTGTACTCTTTGCTATTATTATCAATGTTCGAGCTGAATATAAAAAATTAGAATTAACAATACTTTCAGCACCGGCTATTGATATTACTACTGTTGACATTAGTCCAATGCCAATTATGAATCCAGGACAAGCTTTTCTTACTTTTGTTGCTAATCTTAAACGACCCATTAGTAAGTTTTAATTTTCTTTTCTTCTTGAAATAAAATATTATCATTTCATATTATTTTTTCACTCATTACTAGAAACAATACAAACTACTTTAAAAATTAATCGTGCAGTAAGTGGTATTAATCTTCCAATTCGTTGCTACAAAATTGATGGTCTGGATGTTGGTTCATGTACTTATACAGATTTATGTCGTGTACTTAAAACTATGCTACCATCATTTAAACCTGATAGTTGTCCTAAGGCTATGGCTCAATATGGTATTGATTGCAATTGTCCATTCAATATTCCTGCTGGACATTTGTCTATTGTGAATGAAAAACTCGAAATACCTGATGCTCAATCAAGTATTGCTAACTTTATGGCTACAGGAGATTTTTCTATTCAATTGGATACACAAGATGCAGTTGGATCTTATGCATCAATTATAATTAAATTTACTGTTAAATCACATAAGCCATCTGGTTAAAAAATGAAAAATCTTTTCATTTAGAGAAATAAAATTTCAACAAATATAATAAAATTACAATACACATTCTAATATTTTTATTTTGAATATCGATAATCATCGATTTGTTCTTCAATAATGAACTGACACAATCATTATATTCTAAATCATTCAGAAAAAAAATGTATCAAACTATATTTTCATACACATTAATAAGAATCTGTTTTGCAACTTGAAAAAAGCTATTTGAATATTAAAAAAAAAACAAGTGCTAATTTTTACATATCCAGCTAATAGGATTTATTCATTAGACAAATATGTTTTGAATAGAATAAAAAATAAGGCTTAAGTTTGCCTTGTTTTGTTTATAAAACTCATATTTAACATACTCATTATTTGATAATGTTAATCGAACAATTTCTGTTCGATGATGGCATAAAGACAATCAAGTGTCAAAAGACTCATTCATTCATTATGAATCATTGATTTCTGTTCTATGATGTACAATATAATGGATGGCAAGCATAACGAGACAATGATTGAACAACATATATATATATACATGTATATATCTTGTTGAAGCTACGTTGTTTGTCGAATGCTTTGTACATTAACTAAATAGCAAATGACAATCGATTGACGGATGATATTATAAATATGCAGTTATAAATAATTTTTTATTTTAATAATATATACATTTAATTTTATAAGAATAAATAAATGTTTTATTTCTTAGAGGTTTAACAGAATTTTATTACGAAGTTTGATGTTTTTTCGACCTTATAATACAAATAAATGAGGATAAGAATTTAGTTCTGATGTGCTACATACTATTGAAAAATACGTCTCGTCATTTCGATAAATTTAATAAATTAAAAATCAAGTTCTACAAGCCTCTCACTTTCTTATTCTACTAATCATAATCTTCTTAAATTTTCCCTGTCATCTTTCTATGGTCGTCTTTTTAACTCAGTTCAGTAGCTTCATTTGTACAGGATTGCTATACAAACAGCTCTAACATACAAAATAAATTAGTAAATATAGTAAATTCAGGTTTTTGAATATGTATTCTTATTTCAAATTAAAATATTGTACTTTTAAGCATTCATTTTAGCAGCTAGAAAACATAATGTCATCTGAACCTAATGAAAAACATCAATAAAATGCAATTCTCAAGCTTATCAAAGAATTCCTTTATTTATAAAATCAAATGTATACATTATTAAAATGAAAAATGANTTCATGATATTTAAATGTTTGAATACTGAATTGATAGATTAAGCGTCATAAATTTGTTTCCTTTTATCGAGCATATTCAAATATTTGAAAATGACAAAAATAGTATAGTGAGAAGAGTAGACATTCTGGATTTAGTCTTGAATGCGATCATTTTCAGTTAGTTAATAAAAAGAAGCAGAAGTAAACCAAAAGGTAAACTTTCAGGCTTGACTATATTAGATTTATACGCAATGGAATAAATGACCCAACAACCGATGATCTACAGAAAAAAGTCGCATAGGGCAACTACAATGTTGCATCCTCCAGATGTTATTCTATTTTCAGCTTCTATTATTTCGCGTTCTTAAGAACGTCTTTTGCCATCGCTTATACATGTATATTTATTAATAAAGATTAAAAGATGTAAATAAAAACATAAATATGCACTTGAAAATAGTAAAAAAGAAAACTATTCTTTTTTACTGAATTTTATCGTTAAAATGATCGAAAATAAAAGAAATAATTGAAAGAAAAGATAGTCTGCACGTACTTAATCAATAAAATATTTATTCATCTCCATAAAATTATCGTTATCAAAATAAATTGCATACGTGAGATCTAAAATTATGATCGTTTAGGATCTCACAAGATTTTAATAATCAAACTCTGCAAGAATCTTACAGTAAGATTTTTCTACTTGAGGATGATCTTTCGTAAATAACAAAAAAAAAATATTTTCTATAAAATAATACTTATGTTTCATTTTGTTGTTGAGATTGATCTAAATAAAAGACAAAACATTTATTTTTATATATTTATACTGACTGTTGAAGTGTGTTATAAAACCAGTGATTAATCGCAATTATCCAAATAATTACCGATTAATTGTCAAAACTATAACATGAAGAGATAGTTCTGATTTTGAAAATACTCGAAAGACAGTTTATTTCAAAATATAAAGAAAAAAAAAATAGAAAGACTGGTAAAATTACAAACAGATGTTTATCTTATTTTACTTGCTCTCTGATCAAAAAAGTGAATCCGACCAGCAGCTGTTTCGAGTTTTACTATTTTTAAATCTAATATTCAATATTTCAAATCGCTTTTGAAAAAGTTACTTTGAACTCAATGATTTTAGAAGTGCATGACTGGACGTAGAGAAGAATCAAACTAGTACCCATCTCCAATGTATACTGCAGACATCTATTTATTCTGTCGAATTGTTTCAATATGTTTTCAAAAAAAGTCAACAATGTTTCAGAAATATTCGATACTGTCTAAACTGGTCGGATACTTTCTGAACTCGAACAACGAGCCAGAGTTTCGGCTCGTTGCATATCTAGAGAAGAATAAACAAGAAAATATCAATCCTATTATTTGTAGTTCAGCCGATCTATTTTCTTGCATGCTCAGAAAATAGTTGTGTTGCCGTCTATTTTTTTTTTTTTTTGAGGTTCCAAACAACATGATTTGACTTGATCAAAATGATTTAATGAGAAATATACAAAATCGAGAAGAAAAATAGTATTGAACTATAAATGTGATTTTAATTGCAGTGGTCATTAACATTACACGAATAGCATCTAAATGAATCGACATATTCACAATAGCTTAAAACAAAATGATATCATAGAATCTATCTGTAAATAAATAATATTGTCTTTGTTTTTTCTTTGTACAAACGTTAGAATCAATATTAATAACTTTCGTGACTTTAATTTGTTTTTATAGAAAGAAAAGCAGTTAGCGCAATACCTGCGAGACTAACATATGAAACACGATGCAGTTGCTGTTGTTAATCATAGAGAAATCACCATCTTTTCGCTTCATGCTCCAAAAATGTAATAAGAAAGTAGTTCATATATATTATAATAAAACGTTTTTGATATACTGTTTGCAATATGTGCAACAGGAAGAAGGGGGAGGGGTAGAAATTTCTAGCGTATATACTTCAACACTCCTTTGAGATAGTCTTTTACAATGTATTTATTCCTATTTTCTTTATATTTGAAATGAAATCACTAAACAATGATCACTTTGATGTGACCATATGTATTTGTTTGAAACCGACCAATGTGTCATAAATGATGTTTTATACAAAAAACAAAAGGCATCTGTTCTATTTTATCGCTTCAATCGGTTGATTCATGCGTACAAGTATAGTCAATCAATGAATATTGATCATGATTGAAAAACAAGGAAGAAGTCATCTGTTCAATTGAGAGGAATGAATTAATACAATGCATTGATTGATGTTTACCTTAGATAAAAATATAAGAAGCTTTTTCTGTTTTTTTGTTGTTTCATTTTAAACATGCTAAATGAGAGGGTGTGATTTATGATGATGATGATGATGACGAAGAATAACGTCATTCATTATTTTAAAAAAAAAGATAATAATGGATTGTCTGTTTTGTATTGTATATATGTCGAGTATGATCTTTTCGAGTTTGACTAATTGAAAAAAGATGATTCGATTTTTTTTTGCGTTATTTTATTTTAAATAGATCTTAATATTATATCTTTGTTAATTTTTTTTAGTGAGTAGTCGTGGTATTCAATCGATTATTGGTATTATTTTTATTTGTTTGGCAAGTTTTATACTTATATTTCTTCCTATATTTCATGTATTGTATCAATTAAAAGATAAAAGAAAGTAAGTTGAATGAGAAATTTCATTTTAAAATATCGAAAAAAAAAAAGAAATCGATAAAGTAAAACTTTCATTTAAACGATCTTCATTATTTTCTTTGTTGTATCCGCAATTGTCTCCTTTTATCCACATGTAAACAGCAATTTTATGCATTTTCTTTCTTTGATGATGAGAAATATATATCTTGTCAAATTAAATCCTACTTTCGTATGAAATTGTAGTAATAGAGTAGTATGGTTGATTATATAAAAAGTAAATTTAAAGATAGGACACTCCCATCCTTGGTGTACTCAATGTTGATAGATTACATTATACTATCCCCAATTAAAGTAGGGCGTCGAGACACATTGAAGGTAGATATGATATCATTATTTTCGAATTTACAACACCCTATTGAGTATATACATATACAAGACAATGACAGACTGTCATAAAACAGAAATTGTTTGCATCATTTTCATCGACTATCTGTTCATCAAGATTCGATGAGATGTACGTATAGGTTTATTATACAACTATTTCATTCAAATAGGTATGCAAGCTCGACGATGATAAATGCGATCACACAAATAGATGCGCGAACAAAATGTCCATATACATATACATCTTTCATGAGTATCTGTTGAAAAAAAAATTTCAAAAATCTTATGTAACTGTTGATCTATATATTTTTCGTTCTTTTTCTTTTCGTTATCGAAAGAAAAGACAATGTTTTAAATTGACAAGAAGAATAAAATATCAAGCGTGAACATCGACATAATTCATTTCCTTCTTTTTTTTGTTTTGTTTTGTTTTATAGAAATTCAATGCAGACAAAAGATTATTCACGAGAAAATTTTTATTCAGTACCAAATTCATCTTCTAATGAATTACTTAAACAAGATGATTTAATAATATCAACACGACATATTATTGTTGATATTCGTCGTTTATCAATTAATTCATCAAGTTCATCAGTAATTTTTTTTCGTCATAATTATTTATATTATCTTTGTCGATTATTTATTTGTTTATTAACAATTTTATTTGCAACATTTTGTTGTTATACAATATATGAATTTAAAATTGAAAATTTAAAATCAATAAATAGAACAAATGATAAAATTTCATTATCATCATCGTCATCATATATGTGTAAATTATTTCAATTAAATTTAAATTTATATTATGAAATTCCTGTTAATTATATATCATTAATTATATTATTTATTTTAATATTAATATTAATAATATTTGAAAATTTTTCAAAAAATAAAAAAAAATTTAAATCATTTTATTATCATTTAACAATACCAATGATATTTAATTCACATTCACATATATATCGTTTTGAATCAGCAGCTGTTTTTGGTATAATATCATTAGAAATTTTACATATATTTGATGAATTTATTATAAATGGTACAAAACATTTTCAAAATGGACCATTAATTGATTTAATTTTTCAATTTGGTATTGGTCTTATGTTAGGTTTAAGATATTTTCCAATATTAGCTATATTTGAACAAGAAAATAATTATGAAAATCGTTTAGCTAATATTATTTCTTATGCATTAGCAACAATTTATTTATATTGTGAAATTATATTTAAATTACAATCAGATATTAATTGTATGATTGATCAAAATAAATTATCAATGATTAAAGAAATATTTGATAAATTTAATCATACAGGAATTAATATTAAACAATATTTATTGATACAATTAGGTAGGTTTTGAATTATTTTATAAAAAGTATAATCTCAATACAGATTCATTTGTCTTTATAAATAAGAAATATTGATGACATCATAGGTACGTTTTCTAGAACTCTTTCAAAGCGGGTTTTATTATGAAGAAAAAATACTTTTTTGATTATGTACTACAGAATGATTAATTTTCTCTTTTTTTATGCATAAATGGTTAAATAGATTGATAATTTCATTCAATATCGAAGAGTCTAGTTTTTTTTTTAATTATAAAACTTGATGCATAATATTCTAATCTCATCAAAATAATGAATGAAATGGCTCTAGGACAGATGGTCCCCAAACAGATTCTATCTTAACTTTTGAATGGATAATGCATGCAACCAGAAATTTTATCATTTGAGTATCGCTCGAACTGATTAATTGATTATCTCATGCACGATTTGAGACTGGATGTAAGTGAAGAAAAGACTCATTCACCCTCCACGTTTTAAATATCAATCAACATTATATCCGACAGTCAATCACTAAAGCAAAAGAAAAAATGAATCGTTCAAAAAAACAAATACAAAATTTCATTGAAAACTCACGCACAGACGCTAACAATCAATTAAAGTATTTCGAGCATTTACTATCTCTATAAATTCTGTTTCTCCTTCTTCTATTTGTGTATTCTTACTTAATATTTCCTGTTTTTTTTTTATGTAATCTTGCAGAATGACAAAATAATATATTCGCATTGGTTTTTTTTTTCTGAAAAATTTGAGGACCCATCCCTAGAATAAAAATGTCTTCACGTTCAAAAACTCAATTTTTACGCTGTATTGTAAAACGAATGAAAATTGTGTCCGTTCTAAACATTTTCTTAAACTATCTATAAATCTTCTCTTTAGGTGCTAATCGAACAAATAGATTAAATGAAACTTATCAAAATAGTCAATTATGGTTTAATGAACAAATAAAAAAACAAATAGATAATTCCACATATGATGATAGGAGTGATATTGAAAATGATTTAACACGTTTAAATTATTCATTAGAATTAAATAAACAAAGTATTTTTTATAATACATTACGATATGCACCATATTATTATTTTATGGTTTTTTTGGCTGTTCGTTTAACACTTATGTTTTTAAATACATTTCGAAAAACGATAAATAAAAATTCATTTTCATTAAAAAATTCTCCACGTTGGAAATATGTTAAATATAATTTATTAAAATCTTCTAATCATAATCATGAAAATAATCAACATGAATATTCACGTTTATTTCGTTTTTTAAATTATTTAATATTCATTTTTAAACAACATATTTATATCATACGTCCTTATTTTCGTTATTCAAAATTAATTATTTGTATATATACAAGTGCATTTACACTTATTTATTATTTTACATTTTGGATTCAAGATCATACATATATATTAACAAAAAAATTATTATTATTTCTTAATTTAATTTTATGTGCTTTAGCTGATTTATCTAAAGATTTATGTTATAATTTAAATCTCGATCATATTCATCGTGATATTAAATATATTTGTTTATTAACAGCATTTATAACATGTTTACAATTATTTTTTGGTTTAAAACATTATCAAATACAAATGTGTAATGCATATCGTGGAATATTTAATGATATTCCAACAGCAAAACAAATTTCATCGATTACTATTATTAGTAAATCAATACATTATCCAGGTCGTTTTATGGGTATGTTTAACGAATGAATAATATTTTCCTACAAAATAATTATTGAAGAATTAAAATAAGTTATTTATTTGAAAAGTTAAATTTTAAATTAAATCATTTTAATACGAGACTGTTGACAATTTCGAACATCTAAATAGAACCGATTCCATCTATGACTCTTATCTTATCCTGTAGATCTCTAATGACTGTTCGAAGCATATAGTTGACTTTAGTTTTTTTATTCACTAAATAATTGAATATTCATTCAGCTCCACATATGGATATAAGCCTAACAAGGGAAGTCTTTCAAATATAAAATCGCTTGTGAATCGAGACTATGTGCGTTATATAGAATCAAATGAGCTATGAATATTCTGTAAACAGTTCAGACTATTATCATTATTGCTGTCGGAATATGATACTTTTATAGTAGTTTTCTAAATGAATGTCGTAGTTCTGTTCAAGCAAATCTATTTTGGACTTAAAATTTTGAATAGAACCGGTTCTTAAGGAGAATAGTGTCTTGTGAATTTTTCAAATCCTATCGTTGTTCCTATTCTAAGAAACAGCTATGGTAAAAACATGTCGTTTACCTCGCTCATATATAACGATCGATTCGATGTTCTTATTTCATGATAGAAATAAATCAAAAGATGTAAAACTTTGATAATAAACTTCTCCCGTTAAGATCGGTTTTTTGTACAAAGTTTCGAATCGAAACTTAAAAATCGATTTTCCTATACCACGGTATTCGTCTTAAAAGCTATCATAAAAGTGCAGCGTCTCAACAGCAATAAACTAAGGGCTTGAACTGTTTTCAAAATATTCAAAACTCACTTGAATTTTCCTCGTTATAAAGCACGATGTTATTTATTTCGATTACTGGCATAAAAGTATTTTAACAACTAAAAATTTTCAAATACTAACTTTATTTCTTCAACAATACATCTCAATAAATTGTGATCAATCGAATCAGTTATTTTTTCTTTATTGAGAAACTATTATTATACAAGTAGTCAATATTTAGGGAATTGTCACGATTCTTTGCAAAGCAGAATTTTATCTCTTCTGGAAAAAAGATAAAACATGTCTATCCACCGGCTTATTTTAATTGAATATTATTTTTTTTATTTTTAGGTTCATTAGTTTATAGTTATGGTTTTTTATTTTTATTTGTTTCAATATTTTATATATTATCTCGTTATATTCTTTATTCAATAATTATTCTTGAATTTGTAGCTAAATTATTCTTACCAATGATAATATTTTTATTATTTCAATTATTATTTGTACGTCTTTTATGCAAATTATTGTTTGTAGAAAAAACTCATTTACTTACATTACGTAATCTTCGTCTTTATTATACATTTTCATATTTTTGTTTTTTTTTTGATTGTTTTTTGGGTTTTATTATGTGTTTAACACGTATAGTTAAAGCATTTATATGTTCAATTATATTTTTTGCACGTTTCGATTATTCACCATATGGTCGCGGTTTAGAAATGTATGATTCATCATATGCATCATATGTTAGTTTTTTTCATATAGAAAAAAATCAACGACATCCTGTTTTAAATGTATTTATTGATATTATTCGACAACGTCTTATTGATATAAGAAAATTAAAATATAAATTATCTATTGGAAAAATTCATCATACATATGAACAAGATAAATTATCGCAAATAAGACGTTTTCGTTGGGCATTAGCTTATACATTAATTAAAAATGAACAATTAAAACGTTATCGAAAACATCGTTTATGTTTAAATAAAACAACACAATCAAAAACATTAGAAAAAATCTTTGATAAAATTGGTTTATCACAAACATTACCAAGACAATACTAGACTTTATTACATATATGTATACACAGTAGAAATGCAGTTTTTTGTTTCTTTTTCTTTTTTTGTAAAGTTTTTTTAAGTATCCGGTGAAAGTGTTCTTTGTTTTTTTTCCTTATGTTTAGAACTGTATTATAGAAATAAATAATAGATAAAATATGAAATTATTGATTTAAGTTCTAGATAGATGATAGTTATAAAAGGTATTCAGAATGTTCAATATTCTTATGCAATCGATTGATATTCAAATGATACATCAAAGCAATTGATTACATCAGAATTACCTACAATTAATATATCTTCGATCCTTGATGAACAATGGTAATGAATTGTTCACCTTGTAACACAAAATGAATTTATTTGTCCTCGTTTTATTGCCTTGATTGTTATTCTTACGTGAAGATAACCTTTGGCCATCTTTTGATGACCTTATTATAAGAAATAACATGTACAATAGTACATCATAAATCAGTACATTTGTATGTCCCAATTTGATAACGATTTGTCTTTTCTTTTCTTGTATTTTACTTAGTTTGAAATTGATGAGAACGCATCACAGGTCATGCTTGATTGATCTGTCTTTCTTTATCATTTTTGAGTATATGAATTCATGTTAGTTGGTCATACTTGTGAATATTATGTAATAGAAATTATGAGTAAAATTCAACAAAGAATTACATCATTTAAGTTATTAATGATTTCAAATAGTATTTGTTACAAACTAACCTATGATTTAGCAATCAAATAGGAGATTTAATTCATCGAACACGTTATAATGTAACCCGATCAAAAGATAATATATGTATTTCATGAAAAAAAAAATGAATTGATAATGTTTTAACTCTAATAGAAGCATTTTGTGATATTATATAAAAAAACTTAAAATCATTTTCATAACAGCAGAATTCTAAACTAGTTTTTCAAAAGAAAACAAAACATGGTTTTAAATGAATTTTTAAATATAGTTTGTCTTCCAAGTTTTCATTGTTATATTGGTTTATGTTCTTTTCTATGTCGATTAAAATTTACATGGTTAAATGCCCAATATTTATAATCAATAAATTTTGAATCAAGTACGGAGCTTAATTTCATTATTAAAAATTTATTTAAATCATTGCATATTTAATCAAGTATTTATTGATTTATATGCTAATGATATTGCTCAACGGAAATAGCTTGATGATCGAACACTTTAGGATATGTTTATAAACTGGATACATCACTTTGTAAATTAATGAATTTTGTTAATAGAATAAATATTGCTATTAAAAGACAAATATAAATATGGTAAGAAAACCAAAAGAATTCTATAGATAAATTAATATATAAGAATTTTAGTTCAACATTATTCCTTATGTAAAATATGTATGTGGTACTACGAGTGAGCAATTTCTAATATGACATATTAATGTTAATGTAATTTATTTTATTATGGCAAATATTGTGAGAAATATTAGCTTTTTTTTTTTAGAAAGATTTTGATAATAAAATTTTCTTGAAGAATATTCTCTTGAGGAATCTAATTTCGGATGTTTTATTAAATTATTCATAAGATGAATTCTTTGTCATTTTTTCAGTCGTACCAAAAATGGATAACAGTTATACATGATCCGTAATTGCAACACGAATAGTTTCATAAAACTCTTTGAATGGTTATTTTGTGCATAGTTATAAGTGAATAGTTAGACATAATGAGAATATTTTCATAGAATCCCTATAGAATTCAAACGTGCAACACGATATAATTGTTTTCTTTTTGTTGTGAACAAAAGGGTTTCCGAAACATCACTTAATGTTTATGAGATATATGTTGCAAGATGAAAAGAACTATTAGTTACAATGTATAACAATACATGGAGGAAAAGAATCAATAATGAGCCATTTAACTAATATTTTCCTCTTCCTATTATAGACACTTAAATTCACTCGATTTCCATTTGAATGACATTTAAAAATTTATTTTATTGAACAATAGAATTTAACATTATGCGAAAGCTTTTAAAATCTATTCTCAAATAAAATAAAACAGTAGCAAAGTGATTTACATAAACACGTGTTTTCAAACCGCATTTATATTTTACGTAACTTTTTTTCATTGGATGGAACACGTTCAAAAATGTAAATATTTAATATCAATTATAATTTGATAATCACCATATTGACAGTATTGTGGGAGGAAAAAAAGAGCAATAAGTTACATAATCTTTTCTATGAAATATTTGTTGGTTTTAAAGAGTACAAAAACGATTCAATGAAAAAATTCATTGATTATTATCATTTGAATAGTTTTAATTAAATGTTTCTATGTTGTCAATAAACTAATTTTTCTTCTTCGTTTTTTTTTCTCATTTTAGACGTCATTCAATAGAGGCAAAAAAAACATTGCCGATAAAATATTATTATTCAGCTTTTATTTTCTTTTTTCAAGAAACATTGGAAAAAGAAAAGTTTTTTTTATTAATTCTTAACGGACGTATAAGAATTTTTATCCTTCTTTTCTTTTCTTGTCATATTGACATAAATTAAATTTCAATACATAAAAAATAATCCAGAATATTCAGATTAACTTAAAATCAGTATATATTATAAGGTCAAATAAATTTTTTAATGACATTTTCATGGGTGACAGCACTTTGTTTTAATATTAAAATAGAGATTTAGTTCTTTTTTATTTACATATTCATAATTGTGTTTTCATTAAAAAAAAACTATATTGCTCTTTTCTAATAATAGAAAAACTCCTAGTCGAATTCCATTTGCCTTATCATCCAAGGTTAATTATATGCTATTTATAATTAAATATTGAATTTGTCAAACCTTTGTTTATGAATATAGATGGCTAAATATATGTTGAATAATAAAAAAAGTGAGAGAGAAAAAAAAAGGAGAGAAAGATCAATGAAAAGCGCAATTATATAAATAACAACAACAACAACAACAACAATGAAACGATGGATAAAGACAAACAATGAAGTTTTTCTCTTTCTTCTGTTTTTTCTTAGTGTCATACATCAGCTGCTATACCTAGGAGACTATTTTTTTTTTCTTTTTAGTCTATGAAGAAAAGACAGGTAGGAAGTCGTGGAAATGTGACACGTCAATTATTTGTGCTAAATAAAGACATTGTTGACATGTTATGATAGTCACCGTTAAAATTTTTAAGCATCGTTTTTATTTAATAGTATATCAAATCAAAATAAACAATAAATCTAGGTCATATAAACAGACATATGACTAAAGCTCGTAACGGATTAATCACGCTAGTATTCTTGACTTCATAAAAAGTTTTTACATGCATCTCAATAAGCATGCATTTTTTAGATTGTCTTCTTGTTAAGTTAGCTCGACTTGTTTTGTTTTGTGCCATTACTTTCTTTTATCAAGAAAATGGATCTAATCGTTTCCAACCAGGTATACGGAAAAACGAGGTCATATGCATATATATGCACCGAGTGAATGGTAGACTTTTCCCTTGTTATTAATCAATATCGGTATGAGAGATACATGTTTATACATTTGTTTCTCTGCGGCTTCCATCATTCATATTTATAAGATCAAAAAACTTCTTTTTATATGCCTCCGAAAGCTTTGTTTATATAAGTATTGTATTTTGTGCTTTTAGTCTTTCTGTTGATTGCGCATGAAATAATTAATCTTAAGTTCACTTTTCAATTTGTCGATGTATAAGAACAATCCTCTAGAGTACATTGCAATTAGGTCATCATGTGTAGACAACGAGAAATTCGTCTATAGCAACACTAGCAGTTCAGCAAAAAAAGAGAACTGTTTATTTTTGTTACAGTTAATCACAACGAATTGTCTTGCAGTTGCATACCAACACACAACACACACAGAGCAGAAAAAAGAAGTATTTGATGGAAAGAGAAAGTCAGGAGAGGGAAAGAGAAAGAGAAGAGGAGAAAGCTCACCATTTGCCATCAGAATACAAAAGAAATCGTGGGAAGATGAAGAAGAAAAGAGAAAATCTACTGCGACTGAGTTTTCTTTTTTTGAAAAAAAAAATAAGAGCGAGCAGGACGAAGAACAACATTTTTTTTGTGCTCCTGACTTATATTGTCAAGAACACAAACGTGTTCAATTTCTTGGAGTATGTGACACTTTGTTTATTCACTTTTCTCTTTCTCTCTAGTGGCAGATTGTTAGAATACGACACTATTAATAGTTCGAGAGTTGCTTTATTGTTATCTGTCCATTATCATTAGGAAAAAAACAAGTACATCATCATCATATATATATATATGTTAGGTTAGTGAAGTTTTCTACCACGCCTTCCTACCGGAACAGTAAATGTTCGATCTTTTTCTCTCTTCCTCCTTCGTTTCTCTTTCTCTTTCTCGGTTTCATTTATAATTCATTCGAAAATTACTGCCCTATTTATTCTTTATCTGACTAGCTTAACAACATATAAAACGAATCGAAATAAAATGAGATTAAATGTAGATCTATTATTTGCTCGTGTGTTCATACACAAATATGACTAGTGACTTGGCACTACGACGACGGCAAAATATGTAATCGATCAAATAGCAGGAATATAGGAAAGAAGAGAATAGTAAAACCTCGCTAACGCCAAAGAAGATTATTACTAGATTGCAGATAATATATTAATGGGTGATGTGGCATCTTACCCTCATTCTTTGGGATGAATAGTAACATGACGAAGAGAGAGAGAGAGAGAGAAGAGCGGAATATAGCTATATAGATAGACGACAGTAAAAACAACAGAAAAGCATGGAAGTTCCCTATTAAGTACATAGAAAAAAAAATATCCATGTCTTTTTTTTTTCTCTTCGATGAATAACTACTGCAATATGACAATTAGGAAAGTCCTTTTTTCTTTCTTTTTTTCTCTTCTAAGAGATGGATTGTCAAACTATATTGATGCAATTAAAAAATACATAATGTACTATCGCCTTCTGTTTTTATTTGGTCTCATTTTTTGACAGAGATCTATAAACATAGTGCAAGGTTAATTTATCTTCTATCTTCTAGACATTATATAAAAACAACGAAAAAAATCTATACCTATGGGTAATAATTCGTCATCGTCGTCTTCGAGTAATACTATGTCAAACTCAAGTCAAGCCCATATAGAAGCTCAAGTTAGTTCTTATCTTGAAAATGCCAAACAAGAATTTGACGGAAAATATGCTCAGCCAGCTAAACAGACAGCTAAATTAGATGAGTTTAATTTACAACGAACTGTTGGTACAGGTTCATTTGGTCGTGTTATGATTGTCCAACATAGTAATCAAACATTAGCATTAAAAATAATGGAAAAACAAACAATTGTTAAATTAAAACAAGTCGAACATACATTATCTGAAAAACGTATTTTACAAGCAATCAAATTTCCGTTTCTCGTTAATTTAATTTATTCATTTAAAGATAATTCACATCTTTATTTAGCATTAGAATTTGCAAGTGGTGGAGAAATGTTTACACATCTTCGGTAAGATTATTAAAGAAAACATAAAAATAAGTTTTATTTTTTCTCTTCTTTTTTTATTAATAAAGAACCGTTGGAAAATATCCTGAAGATCAAACACGTTTTTATGCTGCTCAAGTTGCATTAGCATTTGAATATTTACATTATTTGAGTATGTCAAAATACTTATTTTAATATTAATCATTGATTTCTTGTTGCTATTTTTTTTCAAAACATAGGTATTATTTATCGAGATTTAAAGCCTGAAAATATTTTATTTGCTGCTGATGGTTATTTAAAAATAACTGATTTTGGTTTTGCTAAACTTGTTCGTGATCGTACATATACATTATGTGGAACGCCTGAAGTAAATGTTGTTTGTTTCGGAAGACAGAAAAAAAATCTGTTTTTTTTTTGTTTTATATTGTAGTATATTGCTCCGGAAATAATTTTATCACGTGGTTATAATAAAAGTGTTGATTATTGGGCATTAGGAATATTAATATTTGAAATGGCTGCTGTAAGAAAATAAAAAACTATTGATAGTTGAAATAAATGTTTCTTTTTTTTTTAAGGGTTATCCACCATTTTATGCTGATCAACCAATACAAATTTATGAAAAAATAGTTCAAGGAAAATTTAAATTTCCATCACATTTTTCGTCTGATCTTAAAGATTTAGTTCGTAATTTATTACAAGCTGATTTAACAAAACGTTATGGAAATTTGAAAAATGGTACAAGAGATATTAAGTATCATAAATGGTTTACAGCTATTAATTGGATTGCTATTTTTGAAAAACGTGTTAAAGCACCACATATACCGAAACCAGATAAAGACCATTATGAAAAATATGAAGAAAAACCTATGACACATTCTGCAGCAGAACTTTATCCAGCTGAATTTGACAGTTTCTAATCAAAAACAAGTTTTTTTTTTTTTTTCTTTTTCTTTTTGTATATTATCAGTGTTGATACTACTGCTTGAAAAAAGATCTTATTTTTGGTATTCAGATCAAAGATAATTAAATT